TGGGGAATTCTGGGAGTTGAAGTCCAAACATCTTAAAGTTGCTGAGGTTGAGAAACACTGGACTAGAAAGATCCTCCTCTTCCACTCAGGGGACATTTGGGGACCCCAAAGCACTGCTGAAAATAAACTCAGCGAGAGAACCTGGGTTTTGATTTTCAGCAGCTCAGCTTTGCTGTTTCTTTATTTTTATTCAAAACATTTGGGAGTGGGGGGTTAAAAAAGGGCTGGCTTTAATGGAGAATCAGGTGAACACATTCATGCCAACCCCACTATGCTGCTAGCCCTGTTGGAAAGGAGGTATTTAAAAACAATCCCATTTCAAGAAAGTGTATGTTTAACTCGGTGAAAAAAAGATGCAAGGGAAACACAGCTTTCGTAAGAAATCAGGAGTCGGGTCACACCTTTTCAAGCTAACAAATGTTATTAAGAGGCCTAAGCTTTTGAAAGCTGCAGCTGCCTTTTAATAACATGTGTGAGTCTGAAGAGGTGCTAACCGATTCCTCGTAATTTTTTTTACTACCATTGATTAACGTAGCTCTCCTCCTCCAATCTGTATGCTTTTGTCAAAAGATGCTTCGAAAGAGCTGAATCTTTAAAGGATGCAATGGACGGCCAGGTAGAAGATGGAGCAGACCATGATGCCTGGATGCTCTGAAAGGCAGGCTAGGGGGAAAAAAGATAGCAAAGGAGTGGGTTTGGACCACACATCAGAGAAATACCCCAAACTTCTGACGGTGAGGCAGCTGCTTTCAAAAGATGACTCTCCTTTGCCAAAGGGATTTTAATGAGAGAAGAGGCATTCCTCTCACTCAGAGGTGCTGTAGTGGAATTATGCATTGCACCTCCTTCATTGGAGAGGAAGGTGGGTACAGTTCAAGATCCCTCTTAGCTCTCAGATTTTAAAGAGATTTCTCCCTTCTTGGCACTGCTGGCTTGTCCACCAGAGAGAGCTACAAGTAAATAATAAATTCCAAAAGAGGCATGGATCAGATTCCTGGAGCTGCCATCATGCCAGCTAGCTAAGTAGAACGATGCCTGAGTTTGGAAGCTAGGCAGGGTTGGACTGGGCGTGTGCTTGGATGGGAGACCATGAGGAAATCCCAGGCTAGACTGGGCAGTATAAATCAACCAAGCATCCTGCAAGAAGTCAGCAGCCAACTGAACAGCTCACCATTTTCCTATTGTTGCTAAGAATGGTGTATCCAGGTAGTTTCCAGAGCCTGAGCTTGACTTGAAGACTTGTCTACCTTTAAATAGAACCAAGGAAGGGAGCATTAAGCGAGAGGAGGCTTTGCAAAAGCAGCAAGTTGGAGTTGCGCGGGCCTGCAAGCTTCTGTCCTCCTGGTCCTGGTTAGGGGGGGTGCTGTGGAACTTCCCACACTGGCTGGGTTCACACAACACAAAAGCTGGATTTCAGTGGGGCTGGGTCCCTTGTAGCTCAGTGTCCTGTGATAACTCAGCCACTATCATGCCGTGTGTTGTGGACTGCCATGTTAAGCCATAACTAGGGTTTATTTCCTTGAGCCAGCTTTAGGATTCAGCCTACTGTATGATGCACACAAGGACTTAGGGCAGGGTTTCTCAGCCTTAGCAACTCTAAGATGTGTGGACTTCAAATCCCAGAATTTCTGGGAGATGAAGTCCACACATCTTAGAGTTGTACACACACACACATCTTAGAGAAGTACACACACACACACACACACGGAAATATATATACACATGTTCATGCATGTGTGAAATATAGAGACACTGGCACAAAATACGTGATATACATATTTCACACAGACACGCACACATATATAGTATATATATACATATATGTGTGTGTGTGTGTGTGTGTGTGTGTAATATTATATTTTCCTTCCTACATTTTTCCTGCAGGCTGAGTGACTTTGGGCTGGTCCCTCTCTCAGCCCAACCCACCTCACAGGGTTATGGTTGTGGGGAAAATAGGAGGAGGGAGAATGATGTATTATTGGGTGGTATAAAATAAAGGTGGGATATAATAATAAGTAAAAGCATATAATAATGATATTATTAATGTATATTAATTATATACATAATTATACATTCTATACATATTAATTATACATTAATTTTATATCTATATCCATATCTCACATGCATATATATATTTCGTGTTTATATATATTACACCTGCATACACACCCACGCATATATGTGATATTATCTGCATGTTATTTATTTAATTATTTACTTGGCTCGATTTTATTTATTTATTTATTTATTTATTTTTGGCCTGCTGAAATTGAGAGACTCTTGGCAGGTCATGGTTATATCAACAAAATGTTGATGGTACAGGTACAGTTACATAATAATAAACCATACACTGCCCCCCCTGCTCCCAAATAAGCCACAATGAGATCCTAAAGCCATATCTAAGTATAAATGATTGTGACCTTAGTCAAATTAAAACTGGTTAGGAAGCCTTTTCTCCCCAAGTCCTGCTGTGCTGCCTCGTCATGGAGGTTAGGGGTGTTCCTGGGAGGGATGAGTGAAGAATGCCGGGGGGTTGTGCCCAGGGTATATATTCCCAGCAGGGTCATCCCAGCTGCCCAGCAAAAGCAAGCAGGCACCTCTATTAGGCAGCAGCAATAGAGGAAGATGCCAGAGACAGAGGATCACCTTAGTTGCAATGGCAAAGGCTCAATTTGAAACCACACATTTCAAAGCATTCCTGTATTTTACCAAGAAAACCATGTGGACGGACAATTCTAACATTAGGGACATATGATGTGAAGATCCAGCTCTCCGGGGAAGGCTCTGATGCTGGGAAAGGTGGAAGGAAAGAGAAGAAGAGGACAACCATCAGCAGGGCAGCAGTTACAGCAAGACCTAAAGGGCCAAGTTGGGATGGATCATCCTGGAGAAGGTCTATCGACATGGCCTCCAAGAATCACCATCAACTTGATGGCACATAGTCAGTAGGAATACCTCGCTCTGTTGAGAAGTCTATATTGATTGGGAAGGTGGAAGGAAAGAGAGGAAGAGGAAGACCAGCAGCAAGGGGGATGGATTCAGTTACAGTGGCGGTGAATGCACCACTGGAAGATCTGAAGCACCAGGTTGGGACAGATCATCCTGGAGAGTCTGTCCACATGATTGCTAAGAGTCAGCAACAACTTGATGGCACATAATGAATGAGGATGCCTTTCTCTTACTGCATCTCCTGGCCTAGGGTGGAGCCATTTTTTTTCTGATCAAGGGCCACATCTTCTCCTGGGAGCTGGTGAGGTTGGCTAGTGGTTTGTTGGGGAGGGGATCAGAATTATTTTCTCCTTTCCCTCTCTCTCAGTCTCTTTCTACTTTGACAGCATCTCCTTTTTCCCTTCCCAAAGCAGTTGCTGAGTAGGGAACAAAAAAACTATTACCATAGATTGGACCTGTTTGCAGAGAAGTTAAAATCAAGCCACTCCCTGCACGTGACCAAAAGCTGTGGTTCGCCAACCCTGTTATGGGAAGAAGGAATTAAAATTTCAGAGCTCTTTATCCCCAGTTGCAGAGATGGCTGTTGCCTTTGCTGCTTTCAGTAGCAAATTAAAGAAATCCAGGGTGGTAGGAAAGTGGGACTTCTTGTAAACTTCTGGGTGGCTACTGTTGAAGCAGAATAAGGGTTGGGTGGGCCTTTTCTCTGACCCAGGTTTCATTCTCAACTACATTAAGGTTTATTTCTGCTGGAGTTGGGTACAGCTGTTGCTCTGTCTTGGTGTACATACATCAGGGTTGAAGGCCAACTTTGACATCTCCAGGTACAAAGAGGTTCAGGGATGATTGTGCTGTTTGCTCACCTCTCCTGCCTTCAAGCAAGATGTTCGAGAAAGGCCAGTCACCTTCTCTCGTGTTTGAAAGAGAACTTGGCAGAGATGGGCCCACCAGTGTGTGTCTAGCTTTGCATCTGTAGGTGGCACCAGCTTTGTTGCAAGGGGAGTGGGAATCATCTCACATTACCATGGGTGTGTTGAGAAGCCTTCTGCAATGCCAAGGGTCACAGAAGCCACAGAGCGATCTTCCATTCTCTCATGAAGCTGTTTCTCTCCCTGCCTTTCTCAACCTTCCTCCCATTGCAGTTCCTCTCGCTCTGTCCCTCAGGTGTGTTACTTCTGCCTAAAGTTACCTGGATGTTGCTGCCGTTGGAAGCTGAGATCCTGAGTGCGCTTCAAGTGCAGCCTTAGACTTTTCTGTAGAAAATTGAATGGTTGTGTGAACCACTGTTGTGAGCCATGTTATGCCACAATATGGTGGTTGATTTCTTTGGGTGCTTCGTGTGATGTGAATGCTGCAGACAGCCCTCTGATGTAGGGTTACTGGCTCAATTTTGGAAAGGCTAGGAATATGGAGAGCTGGACCGGATGGTTTCACAAACATCCCACGGTGAGTCACCATTGGTGCTTGCTGAAGATAAGCCAGCCGTATTGCTTACCTTTCAAGATTAGTTACGAGATCTTAAGAACCTTAGTTCTTGGGCTTTAAGTCTATCCCTCCTTCCTGCTTGTGTGCACATGTGCGTACATTTTATCACCTAAATTCCACTTGTGGAATCCCAAATTGCAGATATGGAACAGTGGCGAGATGATTTCCCCGGGACAGTGTAGGCTGTTTTTTTCCAGTTCTCCCAGGATACTTAGAGCTTGTCCTTCCATCCATCAATATGATTAGATGGTCGGAATTGAATT